GATAGCAAACAGAAGAGAGAAGAGCACCCAGAATATGAGGATAAAAAGTGAAGGTGTTTTTTTTAATTTTTTTTTTGGTGTTAAGATCCACAGGACTCAGAAAATGAGGATGGAAAGTACTCCAAATATTTCTTTGTTGAATTTCGGTGTTAAGATCCAGGGAAGCAAATCTTTATTTTTTTTTAATAATGCTATATTCTTCTATCAAATCTTTCATCATCTTTGAAATTCTCTCAATTCAACTTCACTACCTACCTACCACTACTCCCAAGGCTTAAAAAAGGGGACCCCTGCGAACATAGCTTTGTTGTCTCCTACAATGAGGAGGGAAAGTACTGAAAAGTTAAAATATTTGTTGTTGAAGTTTGGTGTCAAGATCCAGAGGACTCAGACAATGGGGATGGAAAGTACTTAAAATTTAAAAAGTTAAAATATATCTTTCTTGAATTTTGGTGTTAAGATTTAGAGAAGCCAATCTTCATCATGGTATCAACTACATTACTGCTACTACTACTACTACTACTACTACTACTACTACWAAAAAAAAAAAAAAAAAAAAAAAAAAAAAAAACATACTTCGGACTCCTTAAGTTAACACCTTTGTTGAATTTTCTGATTAAAATAAAGCTGTAGCAATGTAGTGAAACATTTCTTGAGTGTTGACACTTCTTCTTTATTCAATGAAAAAACGGACTGGAGCATGCAATACATGTTGATATTTATATGAACATTCACTGAACTTTGTGAAAGCCATGAATATTTCATATATAGTTGACACAGCTTGACAGAAACTAAATAGTAAATTTGAAATTTCTCAATTAATTCCTAATCAAAGAATGTCAGAAACGCATCGTCCTATGTGGTGATCCAAACAACAGAAGGTAATGTACAAGAACTGCAGTTAACTGCTGCAGTTCAGTAACTGGCCTGCAGTTAACTGCAGCTGTAGTTAAGTAACTAGGGAAGTTTAAACTTGACAATGCCTGCAGTTAACTGCAGCAGTTAAGTAACTGGCCCAGCAGTTAACTGCTGCAGTTAAGTAACTGGCCTGCAGTTAACTGCAGCTGTAGTTAAGTAACTAGGGCAGTTTAAACTTGACAATGCCTGCAGTTAACTGCACCAGTTAAGTAACTGGCCTACAGTAGTACTGTGCAGTTTTATACCTAACTTTGGGGTAATTTGTTAACTGCCCCTGCATTAGCTATTGTGCACCCTGTCGAAAAACTTCCTCCCACTTCAACTAGTACACCCAAATTCGCATATAGACCTTTTGTTTCATGTTTTCTATGAAACACCAGTAGTTCTGAGGCACTTTTCTCCGGTCCTTGAAATGCCCTGCACGCCAAAAAAAAAAAACGAAACCGCGCAGCATCCGTTTGGCTGGTGCCACCACGGTGACCCTTTTGCTTCCGAGGCCGAGCCCCGGAAGTTGCGGCGTGTGTACTACAAAAAGGGCCCGATGTATGGGCCATTGCAAGTACTGGTGGCTTAAACAAGTCTTCTCTTGGATCTTGCTGACGTTCCACTAGACTGCTACTAGATGAACTTGCACTGACGCGCCACTCAGCTCTGATCTGAGTTGCAACTTATATCATGGTCAAGTTCGATTCAATCCGTTGCACCTCCTGATTGTTCTGGAGGAGGGGAGGGAAAGGGAGGGGAGGGGAGGGGAGGGGAGGGGAGGGGAGGGGAGGGGAGGGGAGGGGAGGGGAGGGGAGGGGAGGGGGGGGGAGGGGAGGGGAGGGGAGGGGATGTGGGGAGAGGACCTTGCTCGACTGCTGCTGCTGGCCTCGCGTTCCACGGTCGGATCCGATCCGACTAGACTGTCTCGCGTACACTCTGCAAGAACTGGAAGTTCGTCCTATGCAGGTGAGGTGCATCACCATGATTCTCAGTCTCATTCAGACCTTGCTAGTCCCAAGCAAGGTCTTATGCAGGTGAGGTCCCAAGCATGTTTTCCTTTGGCCAGATGTTCATCAAGACCGGAAAGAGAAGAAAGCAGGTAGAACACCAAAAATCCGCTGAGAAGAGGGTGCTCACCAGATCAGATCCACAGCCGCGGTGAGAAGAAGATGTGGGAAGAAAGAGAGCTCAGGTGAAAAAGGGATCAAAGAAGGACCGGAACGGGGTGATGCACGAGCAGTGCCGGAGGGGAGGGCGACAGGGAAGGAAGTCAAATCGTAATGCATGGACTGATTGATGATGGAAGAGAGGGTGTCACTGATGCATTCCATCCTCAATGGTGGGGAAAGACAGAGCCTCAGCCTGAGGGTGATTTGCGACAGACGACCCCGTCACCGGGGCGAGGTTGGTAGTTGATCATAACTTCATAAGAATCATAACGGCTCAGTAATGGAATGGATGGCAGCATGTGTGTGGTGGAGGGTCGCTCACAGTCACTGGAGAATAAAAAAAAGAGCAGTAACTGAGTGGGCATGGAATATAAGGGGAAATTCGTCAAGAGTAAGTAGGAGAATCAATATACTTCAGTATACTACTAAATTGGGCTACCATTTGAGGGAGAGACCACGCCAGTTGGACCACATTTTGGCAAGATGGGAGAAGACATTAGATATACCTAGGGCCCAGGTAGAAAAGTTACCTTGGTCAAATCTGCACAGCATCAGACTGCCCTAGGTTAGTAGGAGTATGCAGTGGCTTATCTTTCATGTTCATGTAGCACTCCCAGTCAATGTCTGGTTGTTCGGTAGGCGAAATAAGATCAATAGGAATGACACGGACCAGGACTGTGTTATGTGTACGGGAGGTGTATTGGAAACTCTGATACATTGCTTGCTCCATTGCGCGGAGGCAGAACATCTTTTGTCCATATCACGTGAATTATGGGCACAGACAACGGACATCCCCTTTCCACATAACAGAAGATTAGTATTGATTGGAAGTGAAGTTCCTAGAGGATGGAAGTCAGGCCACAAATATATCTTTCAACTTTTGAGACAGTACACCCTATGGACAATCTGGAAACGAAGATGTCAACGGGTGGTGGGTAAGACTCTGTTGACAAGAGGGGAAGCCAAGGCAATACTCTATAACTTGTTGGAAACAGAGATTAGGGCATTATGGAGAAGAACAAAGAAGCAACTTGAGCTTAATCCAGAAAGGGCAAAGGACATCTTATCGAAATACCACAACAGGGTATTAGCCCAAGGCAAAGTCGCGACGATTGAAGGACAAAAACTGATCTTCCATTGGTTCAAGGATAAGCATCAGGATGACAATATAGATGACCAGTGGTCGACACAGGAGCTTAGGTTCCCTTAAGGAGTAAATGGGAGGCCAGCTAAGGAGGACATGAGAGAAAAAGGGAAAAGGGGCAAATGGTATTCACATTTTTCAGAATATCAAAATTTTGTTTTTCCATATAGGGGTGTTGTAGTTGGCAGAAAACAGGAGGTGTTGCTAACTGCTAGGACCTTTCTAGTGACTCATGATTTATATGACAGATAGTAGCTTGTGACCTGAAAGGAAAGGATGAAGCAGGGGGGCAAATGGTGTCCACATTTTTCACCTTAGCAAAATTTTGTTTCTCCATATGGGATTTGTACTTCTGACAAAATAGGAGGTGTTGTTATCTGCTAGCCTAAGGACCTTTCTCGTTACTCATGATCTATATGACAGGTTGTACCATGTGACCTGAGAGGAAAGGATGAAGCAGGGCAAGCTGACAGTCAATCCTCTGCGATGTTGGAGTAATCAATATGCTGGTTAGGGGTCCTTCGTCCAGACGGAAGGAAGCGTGAGTGAGTATTTTTTATGTATCTTTTATTATGACTTGCCGGTGGAATAGGAACCGGACTGATGCTCCCCAGAATGGATACGGAGCCAGGACCATCAGGGCCTGTTTACAAAAAAAAAAAAAAAAAAAAAAAAAAAAAAAAAAAGAGCAGTAACTGTTTCAAGATGCCTCATGCAAATCAGATCATGAGTGACTCCATGTCCAGTACGCAGTGGGTGACGCCAGCTTCAGTGAGTGAGTGAGTGAGTGAGTGAGTGACAGCCGAATGGGATGGAGTGTGTGACTCACACCAACTCCAGTGAGTCAGAGATGATGCGAAATACAGCGATGGAGATAAGACCGAGCGAGGGGCGGCCACCAGACCCCAGAGTGAGTGCCAATTGGTGGTCCCCACCACATGAGACCTAGTGAGTGACAGCAGATTCGTAGTGAATGACGGACAGCAGATCTGAATACGTAAGTTACACCAGATCCAGTGAGCGACAATATGTGCTCCCCATTACAGATTTGCAGTGAGCGACAGAAGGTCCAGTGAGTGATAGACGCGCCTGATCCTGTGAGTGACAGACGGTGTCGCACCTAATCTTGTGGTGTGACAACAAAATGTACAGCAGATCTGGTGGTCCCCACCAGAAGATTCTAGTGAGTGAATATTAACAGATGGTACCCACCAGATGTAGTTAGCGAGTCATAGCCGATTTCCAGCGAGCGAGAACAGATGCCGTGAGTGAAAAAAAAACATATTGATTCAGGCTCATCATCCAGCTACCGTAGTGAAAAACAGATCGATCCAGCGTCGAGTGATACCTCCTTAATCACTCATCTCTGAGGCAAAAGTATAAAGGGAAGTGGGAGCGACATGAAGTTCAACTGAGTCAGACAGAAACTGATGTCACTCAACTAATTCAGTGTAAAAAAAAAAAAAAAAAAAAAAAAAAAAAAAAAACAGTAACCTCATGTTACTAACCTGTAACTTGTTACTCATGTTACTCATTCCTTGAACATTTCATGTGGTCCCCACCACATGAGCAGTGCATCTAGTACCATGTGCGACGAGTCCTGTTATGCACGGGCCTGGAGAGTGTGCGTGTTATAGTCAAAGTCGATCACAGTATGATCTACGTGGTGGGGACCTCCACTAGTTATAATTACGTCGTTAAGAATCTATTAAGCATAAAAGCCGCACAAACACAAACAAGGTCTCTCTGGTGAGGACCACCACGAATTATACAGAAGTAGAGGATATTAAGGTTAACCTTCATTCTTCGCTTGGAAGATAATTAAAGCTTTTTTTTTTTTTTTTTTTTTTTTTTTTTTTTTTTTNTTTTTTTTTTTATGGAACAATGCTCCAATCTATTCGTGGGGAGCAACACGTGCTGGGAACCGGGCCCAGCGTCCCATTTGGAACCATATTCGAGCAGAACAAAATGAGATACCAGGGCCATTACCCGGCTTCGGCTGAGAATAGCAATTACCCCTTGTTCTAAGGGTCATGAGCAATTACTAGTCTATTTAACAAAGGGCCTCATGAAATAAGCTAAAGTAGGAAAATAATAGGCTATTAAATTATTAATAGCAATAATAAGTTAATAATAACAACAATAAAAAAAAAATGAAAAAAGAGTTGATGAGATCTTATGACTTGTATCAAATAACTTGAAATAAGTAAAATGAAAAGAGGCTTGTACTACTTTTTACATAGCTGTTCAGCCAACACTGCCCAATTCAATGTGTAAACTAGATCGGTATAAAGTTACATTCGTAAATTTTAAAATTAACTGCGAATACTAAAAAAAAAAGTACATAAAAAATACATTAAAAATTCGAGGGAGGCGAAAAAAAAGGTCAAAAAACAAAGTTTAACAAACAAACAAAAAATAAGCCCACTAAGGAACTGTAATAATAACAAGTAAATAGACAAAAAAGTAACATAATAATCATGTCAAATTAAGTGTCTAATACTTTATCAACTGACCCCACCAAAGGAAATTTTTAGACCAACTTTAGGGGGGGTTAGGGGGGGGTAGGGGGGGTTAGGGGGGTTTAGGGGGGGTTTAGAGGGGTTTTGGGGGGGTTTAAGGGGGGTTGCAGTCCGTTGGACTCTACAGGTTACCCTCTATTTCAGGTGGCTTTCAGCGCTTAGGGGCTTCTAATTCCTGATCTGGGGTATCTGGTGACGGAAGAAGTGGGCTCCCACTCGTAAGGCGACTCGTCTTGACCGAAAATTTTGCACTGCCACTGACGCTGGCGCTGTCTTGTTCTGCCTCGTGTCTAACGAGACGGTCTAGCTCCATCTGAGCCTGCGGGCTGACGCGTATCAAGGCCGTCATCTTCTTGTCGATCACATCAAGTCTGTCGTGGGTGGCCTGATTTGTGAAAAGGCCTGTGCACACCACCACGATGGCATCCCAGCTCTCGTACAGCGGAAGAAGAATCGTAATCGCTGTCGCAACGGTGCCCCAGATTAGCGAAACAATGACCCAGAATGAAAAGTACCCCTTGCTGAAGACGCCCGCTGGAAGCGACAGCAGCGGCCAAATGATGATGCATATGATCGTCAACCCAACGCCGTAAATACAGATCCACCGCTTAGCACTTTGGAGACGTAACTCGTCGTATTCCTCCTTGTCGTCCAGGCCCGTCATGTCCGCCTCCACCATCTGTGAGCGAGAGTACAAAAAAACATATAAATAAATAAATAAATAAAATTGAAAATCAGCTCCGTCAACTTCCATGCATTTCCATGGCTGGCTCCAAGTGATCAAATTAGAGTCGTTAAACTTAAAGAGGTGCTGCAGATCTGGTTGTGATTAAATGCAGATGCATCTCAGATTATAGAGCGGGAAGGGAAGGAGGAGGGGGGGGGAGGAGGGCGGAAGGAACTGACACCATGACCAAATTCAAAGAGGGAGAAAAAAAAAAAAAAAAAAAAGGAGGGCGAGGTCATAAGGAACCATCTGAAGAAGAAGAAGAAGAAGAAGAAGAAGTCTAGTAGACCAAGTGCTTGACTCAGTGGTACACTCAAAAACAACTGTTGTTTGAGTAAAGAAGATCTAGAGGTTGAACCCGGTCAGATACGATAAGGGTAGGGGGGATGACCCCTTTGAAAAAGAGAGAAAATGAAGGGAAAAAAAGGGGGGGGGAATATCATGGAGATGTGTCGAAGAGGGATCATGATGACTATTCATTCGGACAATGAAGGGCATACTCACCCTGCAATTTGTGGACAGATTCTCACTGTGATTACGGGCAGATACATCACCTCCTTTTCATTCTTTCTTTCCCTTAATTAATTAATTAATTGATTAATTAAAGGGCGACATTGCGGCGACAGGCTGAAGTTATTATCGTCGAACTGACCGGACGCAGGTAATTACCCGAAATTTCACTCAAGTGGCTCAACGGATTGTGTCATCAAAGACTTTGAAGTTTGAACTCAGGTGGCCTTGGCCTGTTTATTAACAGGTCAGTCTGACAGTCTGGGTGTACCATTTTCAGCCAGTGGCACACAGGCTTGCTACATTCACCAAGAGTTTGAATGCATCTGGACATGGTGGTTGTCCATGTGCATTCAAAATCTTGATGGATGGCGAGTGGTGCAACTAAACAGTAAACCACCACGGCGTCTGGGATTGTTTTTGGCCTATGCGAATCATTCTGCATGCTGAAGAAAAAACAAGCTGCGGCAGACGCGATTCTCTCTCTTCGTTTTTTTTTTTTTTTTTTTTTTTTGGGGGGGGGGGCCTGGGGCGAGGGGGAAAAGAGAAAATTTCATTCCAAATGAGGGACAGGGGCTCAGGAATACCCCCCACAACACAACCCAGTAAACCACAGGCTCGGGCCATTACTCAGCTTTAGGCTGGTGGCACCAGCCGTTTTGGTGCGGTAGCCCAGAACCCCGAAAGTTGCAGCCTTCTTCTTTTCCTTTTTTTTTTAATTTGTTTTAACCCAGCCATTCATTTTGTGAGCGGCGCTAAGACACTCCTCGGGGACGTGATTCCAAGGATTTCGTCTTCGTTCCACCTGTCCTCGGAGATGAAATCGGAAATGAAAATGTGAAAACACTCCGAGGACAAATCGTTGGGCTCCGAGGATTTCCCAGCCAAATCGTCCTCGGCTCCAAAGGACCTCGCGAGGTCCTTTGGGGGCCGAGGATCCGTGTTTCACGGAGAGGAGAGGGCATGGACGTAGAGAGACGAGGGCATGGACGTAGAGAGACGTTACATAGAGAATTCGGATCGTGGCAGCAACCCTATTGGCTGAAAGCCTGAAGCGCAACTTTTTTTGCTTTTTTTTTCCCTTTTATTTTTCTGACATTGCTCTGAGGATGAGTCCTAAAACCGATGCTCCGAGGATGAGTGTAACGAAGACGACGAAAACCCTAAACTTTTCCGAGGATTCATCCTCGGAGCCCGAGGATGCCCCGAGGAGTGTCTGACGACGTCCTTAGTGGTGGTGTGGTGTACACTGTACACTGTACACACACACAAAAAAAAAATAAAAAAAATCATAGGACTTTTTCTACTAAGCTCTGGACGAGATTGCGGTCAGATTCATTCAGGTCTTGCCGTAATTGCGGTCACATACCTTTAGGAAAGTGCTACTGCAGTGTGAGTATGCCCTCATTTGAACAAATTGAGTTACAGATTCCGATGGACCTTCTCGTGATTCATTGCCAACATTGCACAGGCCTACTCACAGTACCACTCTTCCAAAATTTAATGTATCTGACCGTAATTACGACGGAACCTGGATGTATCTGGATGCATTTCCGTCCAGAAATAAGTCAAAAGGTCCTACTGTGAGTATGCCCTTACAGGGTGACAAAACAAAAACAAAAAAGTTACTAAAAATTTTAAAAATGATTCAACTTTTTTTAATTTTTTTTTTTTTGGTGGTCACTGGTCAGCCTGTAAGGGTGTTGAATCAAAAAGAGACTAAGGGGATACACTTGCAATTTTTGGAAGAATTGGCTGTAATTACAGTCAGATAGGTGTCGGGAAGTCCTTGTGTATATATATATGCCCTTCCAGCCAGATAGAGACAGACTGATCAGCTTCCGGCTATCTCTAGAATTAGGGCATACACTTGCAGTCAGATACATCCCAGATTCCGGCTTTGGAAGAATCTGGGCGCAATTGCAGTCAGATACATCTCAGGACGTCCGAGTGTGTATATATGCCCCCACTCACAGACTCAGACAGATTGATAGGCTTCCAGCCAGGCAGGCTGGCATTGCCAAACAGACAGACAGAATAACGGATACATTAAGACCCTGGCAGAATGGCATGGGAACTCTCTCTCTCTCTCTCTCTCTCTCTCTCTCTCTCTCTCTCTCTCTTACACACACACACGCACACACACAATCAGCTTTATGTATGTGTTTCCTCTTTCTGAATATTTTCCTATTTCTTTCTGTCTGAGTGAGCACCTTCTAGAAGTGCTAAACAGTCGATGGTTCGTTCTTTGGAGTGCCTGCAGGACTCTTAGGGGGGCTGATCTGTCTGTGATGTCTGTGGTGCATATGTTCTATGGGTGATGATGGACGTCCCCCGGAGTGCCTTCCAGGTTCAGCAGGTGGTGGTGGGGACCACCAATCTGTGGGGTTCACTAGTGATGTGAGTAGGTGATGTGCCGTTTTGCTCTGTGTTGGAAGTGTAGACTGCCTTGTCTGCGCTCCGCCGCTTCCTCGCTGCCCAGTGTGCTTGCTTCGCATGTCATTCTTTGCAGCTTCTGTGTTCACTGTGTGGTGTGGCTACGTCGCTGGTGTTGCCTTGTGCTTCGCTGCACTGCTGCCTTGCTGCCCATCCGCAGGCCTTGCCTTCCGTGCCCATCCGCTGCATGCCCTGCGTCGCTGGGCTGCTGCCTTGCTGCCCATCCACAGGCCTTGCCTTCCGCGCTCTTTGCATGTGTGCCGTGTAGTGTGGATGCTTTGTTGGTGTTGCCCTGTGCTTCGCTGCACTTTTGTCGTGCTGCTCGTCCTCTTCCGCGTGCTGTGTCATCCATGCAGTTCGATTTGGCGTTGTTCAGTCGGGTTGCTCCAGCAGTGTTGCTCGGTGCTTCGCTGACGACGCTGAGTTGTTGCCTGCTGCTGTGTTCCGCTTGGGTACAGTCTGCCTTCGACATGGATCAAATGGTTCATAACCCAAACCATCAATACGGGGATTCTGCAGATTGTCGAGGGTTCAGCCTCCTGATGAGTCGGTGCAACTCCAACGAAACAATCATTCATCATCAGTTTTTTTTTTTTTGGTCTTTGTCATTTCTTGGGACTTGTATTGTTTTGCTTGTTTGCTGTATTTTACCTTGTTAAACGGTTTGGCTTGGTGTCTTTTTCATTCTTTGCTATGTGCTGATTGTCTTCTTCTCCCTGCCTTGAGCACTTGTGTGTGATGTCTGGCCTCCCGCCTCCCCTGTGCCCTCCAGCCTTCATGTCGCCTCACTTCTTTTGCCTTGCTACTATTTTGCCTGGCTGTGTCCTTTCTATTAATTGTTATCTTCACGGAAGACTTCACCCTGTCTCGTGCGCTTGTGTCCTTTGTCTTTCATCCTGTCAGACTGGGAGGGTCTCGTCTGCAGATTGCAGTGGAGTGTGCAAGAAACGCTGTGTCCGTGTGGTGTTGTGTGTGGTGTGTTGAGTGGGACAGCCTTGCAGGGAATAAGTGGATAAACACCGTGTCTGGGCTGTAGTGGTTAAGATACTAGGCTCTTGAGGCTGAGGTCGCTGATTCGAATCCGTGCTTGCATGGAGGACTACGGTCCAAATGTACGGGGATCTACAACCATTTTGCTCTGGCGCTCAGCAGAGTTATGTGAGACTTGTCTTCGAGTCTTTGTGCATGGTTTCTCCTGGGAGGTCACCGGTCGGCGAGCACTTATGTTGTGCCGTTGATATCCTAGCATGCTTTTAACCACCAGTATATGCCAAATAAAAGGCCGCAGGCCCCTTTCGGAAGGCCGCCCACCCCTGATTCATTTTATCTACGGCGGCGTTCGGCCTCCTAAATTTTAGGAGAGGCCCAAAACAGGTTCTCCAGTTGCCTAGAGACCTGTCTTACAGATCTCCCCTTTGACCCTGAGGAGTGGCAGTGGCGCCCCGCGCGAAGAACCCGGGTGACTAAGAATGTAAAGCTGTTCAGCCTGACCGTGAAGGCCGCATACCGTTTACTCCGCCCCAGGGTAAACTTGAAAGACATTGTGAAGACCCGTTGGAGGTCTCATTTGAATGTGGAGGTCGAGGCCATCCTCCCGATTCGGTTGTTCACCCTCACGCGGTCCAGGCCTGCAAAGCAGGCCTCGCTGTAGTGGCAGATAGAACACCGCTGCCTCCTCACCAACAACTGGCTAATAGATCGCACATACCTGGAACAGAAAGGACTGGCGCTCCCGTGGTGCAAGTCGTGCCACACGGCGTTCCCCTCCCGAAAGATCCTGGAAACCATATAACACATTCTTGCAGTGTCCAGGGCCTGTCCTTACATAGCGATGGTGGGACAGGATCTGGTACCTGCTGGACACTAGATCAATCTGGCCATGGGATTGGCGGGCGATACTATGTGAGGCATGGACTTCCCCCTCGGGTAGTACCTTTGAAAACAAAATGTTTAAGATAGAGAGGAGAGCCGTTACATGGGCCATCTGGAGGAAACGCTGTATACATGTCATGGAGGGCCTCCGCATAGCCGGGGAGGAAACGACGGACATGATTAAACAATATATACACCAAGAACTTATAGCATAATGGCAGAAAGTTAAAAATCAGCTGGATCTGTTTCAGGCTTCAGGGGACGATCAAGAGAGACTATTACATCTGCTTCAGAGATTGGACAACCGTGGGCCAAGGGATCCCGTTGCGGCCACCCTCGGACTTTCCCAACCCTTTCCCACCCCATCAGCTGACTATGGTGGACATGCAATGGTATGGAGCGGAGTAAGTAGGACAGTAGCGGGTAGATTGCAAAGGTGCCGGCAGACAAGCTGCTTCATTAGGGTGTGACTGAGTCTAGGATCCAGGGAAACTTCGTCCCTCCAGCTGAACCTGTTATGGCCCCCTTCCCAGCCCTCTTTCCACCACCCCCATCTCTAGTTCACTACCACTATCATCATGGTGCAAACGGTTAGCGTCAAAAGGGACCTTGGGCCCAGTTCCCAGCATGAGACTGGTCTACCAACTTGATGGTGTACTTCAGGGGACGCTGGACCCGTTTTCCAGCAGGTGCAGCTCCCCGCCAATAGACCGGAGCCCCTGCAAAACAGGTAGGAGTGCATGCTCTTATCATCACTCCTATCTGTTGGTGCGGGGTTCAAAAAAAGAGAAAAAAAAGGGAAAATTTGTCTGGCGTCCCTGTATTTTCCATTATTTTGAGTCGCGCCCCTGGGCCAAAATATACATGTGCGTGTGTGTCGCGCCCCTGGGCCAAAATATACCCTCTCGCGCCCCAGGGCCTGCCGAAAAGATTTTTAGGCCCAGGGGCGCGACAGGGTAAATCGGCCGTCCGAGGGGCGCTACGCAATATAATGGAAAATACAGGGGCGCCAGACAAATTTTCCTCAGAACAAAAAAAAGGGGTTCTCCAGTTGCCTGGGCATGCACTGGTAGTCTAACGCACCTCACACACACACACACGCACGCACACACACACACACACACACACACACACACACACACACACACACACACACACACACACACACACACACACACACTGTGACACACACACAGACACTCGCACACCCAGACCCACCGCTTGACAAGGAACGTGGATGCTTAATGTACTCTCTCTCTCTCTCTCTCTCTCTCTCTCTCTCTCTCTCTCTCTCTCTCTCTCTCTGGCAGTGAGTGTGTGGGTAATGAGAACCAACGACAACTTGAAGGGAGAAAGTTGGGGAAGGAGGAGAGGAGAGAGAAGTGGAGATGGGGCTTGTGTCGGTTTACCTCAATGGCGCGCGTGTTTGACCAATCACAGTTCTCTGGATTGATTAGACTAAGTACAACGTGAATAACTCCTGAGAGCAGGATGGATACCAGGTTGCCAGCAAGCATAGAGTCATTCTCTCCAAGTGTGCTGACAGTCACCTTGCCATGTTTGGCCTGCAAGCCACACCACATTATTATTCCTTCAATGGTCAGTCGCATCGTCTTTTTTTTTTTTCTTTTTTTTTGTTGTCCAGTTGCATTGATTGAACACAATGGTCTCGAATGGAGATAATTAACAGAAAGCAGCCGCCACTTAAACCGCCAGTACATCCGCGGGCCGAGGCTCTTTCGTACAAGCTGGATTGCCCCCTGCGAGCCAAGCTTTGCTGAAACACCAGCGCCGCAGCGCAGCGTGTTTGTTTCCGTTTTGGCTGGCAGCCTGGCGCCGCCCACCACGTTGGTCCCGTTGCACCCAGCCTCCAAAAATTTCGGAGTGAGCCCCTCAGTATTCTCATGTTGTCTGGGGCCATGCACTGGTGGTAAAAAAACATGAAGACTGAATCTGATTCAAATTTCAAAATCAAAGTTCGTTCTGTTCTAGAGTCACATTTGTCCGTGACAAGATCCTTCAAGACTGGCAGGGGAAAACATCGAGGTAGCATCTTCCCCAGCACACACAAACACACACACACACTCTTATGCCCCCCTTCCCCCCCTCTCACACACTTACACAACCTCCTGATGAGTCGGTGAAAGTCAGGCAAAACAGTCGGGCATGCTCATGCTTACTTTCTGAAATTGTGTATAGCAAACAATACGACTCACACACAAACAGACACCCACACTGCAAGAGAGAGAGAGAGAGAGAGAGAGAGAGATTCACGCACCTTGGCCGTGCTAACCCATGCAATGACACCGCACACCATACCCATTATGGCTCCGATCGATGCACCTTGTCTGTTGGCCTTAGACCAAAGGAGGAGAAGAGAGATGGGTATAACTGCGGAACCGATGAAGACCCCCATGGCCAGATATACCCAGCCAAGGGATAAGCCTATTTTATGCAGGATGATTGATAGAACTCCCATCAGCAGCCCAAAGACCAGAATGCTAATCTTCGATACTTTCAGGATCTGCTTTCCTGTCGCCTTGGGGTTAATATACGTCTTGTAGATATCGTACGTCACAAGCGAGCTGACTGCAATCAGCTCTGCAGAGCCCGTTGACGTCACAGCCATGAAGAGCATGATCAGAATTGCAACTGCGCCGCCTTTCCCCAGCATGACAGCGGCGGTCGCCGCGGGCACGAGTCCTTCGTCAGCCTCCTTGTAGGTCACCGGAAGGCGCAGAGCAAGAGCACCGAGGCCCATGGACGTTGCCAGACTGAATGGAATCGCGAACCTGGTCGATCGGTTACACAAACAATCAGGGAACAGAATGATATATGTCAGAAAATGGATCTTGTCTTTGAATCTTATTTTTTAAGATAGTCTTGGAATGTAGTCGTTGAATCGACAAATGGAATCGATCAGTCAGACAATCAAAGGATGGATGGAGGAATGTCCAGATGCAGTGCATGGGTGGGTGGGTGGGTGGGTGAGTCGGAGTGGGATGAATGGGAACGGATGGTCGAATGGATATTGAATGGATCAATGGAGGAGAGATGGTTAACGGGGGGGGGGGGGGGGGGGGGGGGGGGGGGGGAGGGAGGAAAGATATTTGCCATTTTCGCCGAAAAGATAATGGCAACTTTTTCATTTAATTTATTGATCCAAACATGTCAAAAATGGACACATGACGTACCCTAAAGCACATATATATGTCACAGAAAAAGAAAAACAAGTAAAAAAATCAGCACGATGTGACAGTTTCTGTGCAAAATTCGCCGAAAATAACACCCCTGATTAACCACATGTGGGCACAGGGACAGGGGAAACGAAGCACATCATTTGAAAGGGAGAAAAGGACAAAAGACTGGGGGCTGTGACACTGTTGCTTGCAACATTCACAAACTCATAACTCTGTGTGTGTGTGTGTGTGTGTGTGTGTGTGTGTGTGTGTGTGTGTGTGTGTGTGTGTGAGANGAGAGAGAGAGAGAGAGAGAGAGAGAGAGAGAGAGAGAGAGAGAGAGAGAGAGAGAAACTCCAATAAAGCATGCAGCATTTACCCGCTCATTCCTCTGACAGTATGAGAAGGTATCCTCGATACAATGCCGAACACACACACACACACAGAGAGAGAGAGAGAGAGAGAGAGAAGGGAAGGGAAGGAAAGGGAAGGGTAGGAAAGGGAAGGGGACGAAGGATGAAGCATTTACCAGCACATTCCTCCGAGAAGGTATCCTCGATAGGAGGCCGAGGGCTTGGCAGCGATTGCGTTCTGCCAGTAGCTTTGATCCACAAACACTGTTCCAAAGTTCCCCACAACATTGATGACTCCGAAGATGAAGCCTTGATATGATCTCATGGTCAGGTATGAGCCCTTGTAGTTGTCCTTGACGGGACCGCAAGGCTGCTGGTCTTTGTCCGTTTCATTGAAAGGAAATATCGACTTGCAGACGTCAGATTTCAACGATGCTGTTTGGAGAAGATCGTAAACCTTTGATGAGCTCCCAAGATCACCATACGTGGTGTAAACTCCATAGATGAAGACGCACAGAATCGCATACAGGAAAGCAGTGTGGATGTAGCTCGACACAAACACAGCCTTCAGTCCACCGACATCTGTGTACCTGTGCAGATCCACAAAAAAAACAAAAAAGAAAACACAAAAAAAAACACAAAAACAATTGTGGAGCCGCCCTAAGTTCCCAAAACAGAAAACGTTAATACACATGACATGCACAAAAATGGGAAATTGTGAAACCGAAAAGACTCATTACTCATCATCACTGATGCAAGAGACGAAATGTGACAATGTGCGGAATAGAAAAATTATAGCAAAATAGCAAAATAACAACATTGCAAAATCACAAATTTAAATTGCAAACTAGCAAGCAAAATAGAAAAATAGAAAAATAGAAAAATAGAAAAATAGAAAAGAAACAGCATCACACAGGCACTCGTATCAAACGCGTACTGCACGCGAGTGTTAACCCTCAAAAGTATCAAAAAAAAAAAAAAAGACATTCCATATTAATTCATTGAAAGGTGAATGAATTAATGAATTAATGAATTTCAATGAATGAAAGGTTAAAAAAAAAAAAATCATTGAAAGGTGAAACACCATCCACCGATCCATTAAGGGAACCCCGAAAGCAGCAGATTGTGCAAAACATAAAACATACATGCAAGCGGACGCCATGCGGGAAATTCCGAAGCACGTTTGCCGCACGAGTGGACACGCAAGGTGCGGTGCACGGCATGTGCAGCGCACGGGGGAAGGAAATATTCACTCAAAAAAAAAAAAAAAAAAAAAAAGGTCACCTGCATCCGCTTTAAAGAATTGTTGTGGGATGGGAGAAAAAAAAAAAAAAAAAACCTGGTGGGAGGGTAATGCCGATACCCAAGCGTCAAGACTGATGTCCCAGACACCTTTTTTTAAAAATTTAGGCTATTTCTCATGGCATTGCCAAAAACATTTTTTGGAAGAAAAGAAAAATCTGTACAACTGAACTTTAAAAAGATCAGTTCCTTAGATGTTGCACTCTTCTGTATCTACAAAAACAGCAAAAGAAAAACCAAAAAAAAACTTAAAAAAAGGGAAAACTGCCGCTGGCACGATGCACGAGCATGTGCCGCGCCGCGCGCCGTGCGGCACACCGGACGGTACGGCGCACGGTGCGGTTGCAAGTATGGTGCAAAAGCATGAAACCGCAACACAACAAAGAGCACAATGATGGCTTAATCATTGCCTTCCAAGTACAAGCCAAATCATTTGAATTCACAAAATCGCCCACAGTGACTGCAGGAATCGAACCTGCAACCTGCTGATCTAAAAAGAAATGAGAACACTGTGACATACCAAAAGGCAAAGCAAGCTGGGATGAACTGAAGCTCGCAGATATGGTTACATTGGTCCATACAACACATACTACCATGACCCGGTGCACCCAGACTCATCTCCATCCATCCATCCATCCATCCATCCACAGAGAGAGAGAGAGAGAGAGAGAGAGAGAGAGAGAGAGAGAGAGAGAGAGAGAGAGAGAGAGAGAGAGNAGAGAGAGAGAGAGAGAGAGAGAGAGAGAGAGAGAGAGAGAGAGAGAGAGAGAGAGAGAGAGAGAGAGAGAGAGATTTGGTCTGCAATGCCTGCATGCTGGGAAGGGGGGGGGAGGAGGGGGGGGAGAAGGGGAGGGGAATGGGGCTTGAATGACAATGGCGGTGGGCTTACGCAATAATGCCAACTGGGATGAGAAAGCCCGCAAGGTCGATGTTCATGCCAGTCAAAGCGTTGACTACAGCTGCGCCGCCAAGGAGCAGCATGGAAGTGACGATGATGTTTGTCATGAAGCAAAACACCATGAAGATCTTGTGAGTTCCTTCTCCCCATCTTGCCCGGATGATCTCAAGGATCGTGTGCGCAGTCGGTGCCTTGCGCTTCACTTCAATCGCCAGCAATCCGAATAATAGCACCTGGATTGTTGCCCCTGACGCGTACCAAAATGGTCCACTCACTCCATACTGATATGCCACATTTGAGCTTTGAAGTAGCGTAGCTGCCCAAGTCCACTGCATGCCAACCATGCCAATCACCAGCAACACACACACCTCCTCTCCATGAGTAATATGATCATCTCGATCATCAATACAACTCATCCTAGAATTCACCCCTTTAAAATTTAACTTAGTGTTTTCCATCCTTGGTGCTCTTTCCATGATACTCAGTGTCTGTGTGGCCTGCCTGACAGGGCACTTGTGTGTTTTGGGAGGCCCGGGGGGGCTGGTACTTACCGGTGGCCGTGACTTTGAGGGTTGCAACGGTGAAAACACTCAAGTCAAGTAGCGGGGAGCAGGCCCGCGACACTTAGGTGCTAGTGGTGTCTGCTCTTATCAGCACCACTAACACTGGTGGGGACGTTTGAAAAAAAAAAAAAAAAAAGGGCCGCGACACTTAGGGCAGGGGGGAAAAACACTCAAGTAGCAGGTAGGCCGGTAGCACTCAAGTAGAGGTAGATGTGTCGGGGAACTGGAGGCCGCGCAGAAGAAGACAAAAAAGTTGGCATTTTTAGAGGCCCAGCAGCGGTAGGCTAGGTCTAGGCGGGTACCAGTTCACGTAGCCTGGGTCTAGGGCCTGTGCAGACGATATCAGCAGACCTGCAATGATGACATTGTTTCCCTCCCAAAGGGAGGAGGTACCGGTTGCTTGGAGGTCGCGCGGCCTGGAAGTCACTGCCTAAGAGGCAAGTAGGCTGCCATATCTCCAGGTATAGCGTTGAGCTCTACCTTATTTGCGGTATGCAAGTTTGGGCGCCATGCTGCTTGAGCGGCCGGTGGCTCCCAGAGCACTGCCTGGGAGGAAGGCGGAGAGATGGGCGTTCTGCCTGCCTATGGCGAGCAGCACAGCTTGAGCAGGAGGAAGAAGGGGGATAGGGAGGAGAGTGGCGAGGTACCTACCTCAGGCTATGGTGGACACATCTTCATCACGGTGACCTTGTTAGGCGCTGCATCTGGAAGGCCCCAGTTGGGGTAGTGCCGCACCAAGGAAGCTTTGAGGCATAGAGTCCGGCATGGCGGCCTGAAGAGCAGCGGCCATAGCTGCTTTGCGTTGTCTTTTGCACAGGAGGGCAGGGCCCTTAGTAGCCCGCCATAGCCTTGGCTTTTTGTGAGAGGAAGGAGACGAGGGAGGCCATGGCTATGGTGGCCCTATTGTTAAGCTGGCGGTAAGTAAGAGGGAACAGTTACTTTGGACAGAAATCCAAGTTGCAAAATCACAAAGTAGTCCAGATAGTCATGTACCAAGCAGAGAGCACAATGCGCCAAGATACCATCCAAATAAGAGCAATACAATGAACTCGAGTGCTGATGCCGATGCTCTCTGGTCACACCAATACTGTATCCAACGTCGCTCCTACTGTCTGCCGCCCAGCGCCCAGCCTACACTACTCAGCCTATCTATCCTATCTACGTTCATGCAACGGGATCACATCGAAATCGAAGTTGAAGACCTTTGAACGCGACGTCATGATCACCAAATTGAATGTAGACCGCCAGCACACACCAGGTGTGTTCTCTCTCCTCTCCTCACAACCCCTCGACACCCGACCTCATGAGCCTCCTACCCATGTGGCCTTCGCCATCACCTGCATCCGCACTGTTCGGCCTGGCTACGGCCGCCGCGTGGCCGCTGCCTCTGCAGCGCCCCCTCTCAGCTCCTGCGCCCGCATGCGCCCTGGCCTGCCTGCATAGCCCCGCTTCGCAAGGCGTAGCAGGAGTGTGACCGCATTGCCTGCTCAGGCCAGAATGTGGCTGCCTGGGCAGGGCACTTTCCTTTATGGAAAGTACGGCCCTGTGTCTGGCTGCGTGGGCCGGGCTGAGGAAGTATCCAGTAGCTTCCAGTCGGGCCCCAGTGTCTGCGCCAAGGCCCACCTCGGATGTTACTGGCCTGGGCCCTTTTCAGCTGGGCACGTCCAGGCAGCCGTCCAGGCTCCAAGTGTTTGCCGCATTCTCATTGGCTCCTGGAGGTTGTGTGACGACAACCTCCTGGAGGATGCGTCCTGGGCAATGCTTTCTCATTCGTCCGTGACCACATCGTGACGTGTCGGCCTCCCACGGTGTGTGCCCAGGGCGCAACCAACTGGGGCTTTGGGCTCAACTGTGCAGCGCAGCTGTTGCTTCTGGAAGGAGCCAGGAAAGGCTCAAGTTGCTTTGTAACCAACTGGCATGCTGCAACTGTCTGATACCTCACATATGGAAAAAAGATGAAAAGAGGCATCACTTGAAGATTCAGGCCCGCCTTCACTTAGGGCAGGCACAATGCTTGCTGGGGGCCACAGCCCAGCTCACTTTCATGTCTGTGAGGGCCCCGTGAGGGCTCAGCATGTGGAGCAAGGACTCCAAAAAAAGTAGTTCTTCGACAGTCTGACAGCTCTTGACCTACTCTCTATTTTCAGACAGCCGACCGCATCAGCTGGTGATCATATTCTTCATCGCTGTCGTGTGCTAATGGGCCTCACTCTCTACATCCACAACACAACAACTGTGGCGGTGTATCTTTCTATGTTCTAGCGGAGATTCATTCTCGTTTTGGAGCGGAGATTCATTCTCGTTTTGGACATTTTGGGCCTCGCCACACCAGTGTTGAAATGGTGAAATATTTGACAACTGTCAGACCATTCTCCACATTCACCGTTTCAACACAAAGACGGCCTGCGCCACACCACATGTCGAAGACCCAGGATAAGCGAAGTTTCGTTGTTAGAAAAGGAGGGCGGGGGGGAGGGAAAGAAGAAGAAGACATGGGATGTTGAGGCATAGATGTCGAAATCCGCACATCCTTCACAACGGTTACCTCGTTTCCGTGATGTTGAAACTCGACCCGCTGCAGGCGGGCCGTTCGACAACCATGTCGAAACCACCTCTCTGACATTTTTTTCTACATTTTTTCTTCGACAGTCTGTGTGGCGAAGAAAAAATGTCAAAAACTCCAGTTTTGACATTGGTGTGGCGAGGCCCTTTGTGAGTAGTGGAGTGAGGCCCTATGTGATCAGAAGAGTGCAGAGTCCTTTGGGACAAAACCAAAATGAAAAAGTAGGTGGAGTCCAGGCTCCATCTCTTGGCGGGTCAGGCCTCACTCCTCAGTGTGCCGGAAAAAAAGAAAAAAAAAAACTTTTGGTAGGACAAAGATACCAGCCCAAAATGGGATCATGGGCAATCTTTGGTGAATATTCTTAGGCCTGGACCCCACAGGACAAAATCTCAGAAAAAGCACGAGCCCCAAGTGCTTTCCCGAACTTGCCCCCACAGGCAAAAGCACAGCTACCTTCGAAAACACAAATTTTAAATTTACCTGCTGCGGCCGGTTTTCCAGGACCCCACCCGCCGCCTGGAAAATGCACACTGGAAATTTTGAAGTCAAAATTGGCATTTCTAGTACTTTCTACATGGTTTCCAGTCGGAAATGTGTCATTTTCCAGCATTTTTGCCGAAATTTTGTGCCACTTCCAGAGGGTAGGGTGGGGGGGGCCGGGGGGGGCTACTCCTTGGTTAGAAACTCGTCGCCGAGCCGCTGGTGGTCCATTAATTTCAGTGTCCGGGCCCTGTAGAACCTCCTGTTCAGTGACAGGGATTTTTCCAAAGTATGGGGATCATTTGGACCGGATACCGTACGGGACATATAACTGTCCCTTGCTCTGTTTTTTTGGGCACGGTGTGGGACTTGAACCCGGGTCATTGTCTGTTGGCCCGACTTTCTTGTTTATGGACCGATACTAGGATGGGCCCGACTCGTAGGCACGAGAGTTAACAAGTACCTGGTTCTAATTGGGCCCTGTACAGGGTCATTCGGTCGGATGTTTTTGGTGGTCGGATGTAGCGTAGCTCTTCTAGTACCTTCGAGCATTCACACTGATGAATCGATAGTGTGCGCTCATGCAGTACTTAAGTGGTTTTATCGATAACAGTCACCCTGTTTCGGTGACGGTCCCTCGGGGCCGTGGTTGGTGGAAAGAGTCGGCAGATCATTGGGTTGGTGGACTGATTAATGAATGTTTACCGAATGTTTGATGACTATTTGTCGATGAGTATGCAGTGTACGAGTGGGGTGCTGTCATCAACTTGCTAATGTTGACTTCTTTTGAATCAACTTGTCTTTCATAGACCTTCATAGACCAAGCAGACGGACATGCTGTTGTCACCCAAAAGACCTAGTAGCCACCCTCGTGTGAAACGGGTGCGCTGCCCTTCGAACGGGGACACGTGCGAGGACCATGTACTGGTCCCTCTCGAGTTTCCGGCCTTTCCAATCTCGGAAAAAAACTGGCTTCAGCCTTTCCAATCTCGGAAAAACTGGCTTCAGCCTTTCCAATATCAGAAAAAAACTGGCTTTTCCAGCCTCCGTGGTGGGGTCCCATTATTTCGCAGGCGAACTCAGAGAGAGATTCCGACGGCCTCGATGGCCTTTCCATGGATATCCGAAAATAACCACTTTTCCAACACTTTTTCCGGTGGGGTCCAGGCCTTAAGAATGATAGCTGATAAGAAGAGGGGTGGAAAACGGACAGACAACATTAAATTTTCCAGACACGACATTTACTTCGGACATCATCAGGATTCTCTCGACCGCTCTCTCTATTCTATAATGAAAAAAACAAATTATTGGGGTGAACCTGGTCCCACTCTCACTCTGGGGGTGAGTGGGTTATCGAGAGTCAGTTGAAATACCACTCTCTCTCTCTCTCCCTCTCTCTCTCTCTCTCTCTCTCTCTCTCTCTCTCTCTCTCTCTCTCTCTCTCTCTCTCTATATATATATATATATATATATATATATATATAT